AAGGAGTAGTAAGTAAATAATACAGAGGTAGAAGTAAGCAAAAGCGATGTGCTTAGCCTTCACTTCCTTATTCTCTTCACCTCCTGGGTGATCCCATTACCCCCCCAGTCATTGATTATCATGCACATGCTGATGTGTTCAAGCTGCCAGTGCCCAGACTCACTCCCAATCTCCATACTTATGGCCAAAGGTATACGTGACATACCTAATTGTATATCCCAAACCACTTCAGAACCCATCATAAGTAAAACTAGATTAATCCCCTTCTACTCCAAATTCTTTCTTTCTTCTTCATTTACCAGCTCATTAAATAATGCCTGTTGTGGACACTCCAAAAATATGGGTGGACCTCCAGCCAACATTTATCCAGATGTCAAGACTGATGATGCCACACTTGCCCCAAGAGGTCTGGAAACATTTACTATTCAGCTAATGAGGTTTTATGGGGAGAGCAGAGAGCTCCCAATCAGGTTCAAAAATTGCTTGAGAGAATTAGGGAAATGAGACTCGTTTGGCTTTTAATGTGATTAAGGCCTTAAGCTAGGGTGATAGTTCCCTTATTTGGTCCAGGTCTTGACTTGTTTGGACTTCCCAGTGGGCGTTTAAGGAGGGAGCACCGGGGGTTTCTAATCAACTTTCCTGGATGTGGAGCAGAAGGAAAATGGAGTGGTAAGGCTTGAGAGTTGTCAGTCACCCTTGATTAAGTGTGAACTGTAATAATGATTCTGACACCCCCAGTTTTGAAGATTCACTTTTGATGTGAATTTAGAACAGAAATTTAGAACTTCCTGACCACCCATGCAAACCTGTAGGATGTATTGTAATCTTGACAGTATATCTTTAAGGATGTCACTTTTATTCTACATATTATAATTAACTGATGTTATTCCTAAGGATAAATTTAGTGTAGCAGGTCTGTTAAATAAGTAGACTCTGGCAATCATTCACAGACAGATAATATATTGCAGGATATAACACTAAATTTGAACTAACCTGGAAAAAATATATCTATCATCTATCTATCATATATATGTATATATGATAGATTAATAGACTAGTATATATATTCATACATTAATAGACTAGTATATATATATCTTCATACACATATACATACATAAACTAAAATAGAATATTATATTTAATATCCTATTAAATAAAAATACATAATGAATTTTAGGCCAATTTATAGTGATCTTAGTAAAAATAGGCATATATTACATTTGAGGAAAAGATATTCCTATTAACTTCTGTTTCTTTAGATATTGTCCCTTGGTGATGCTGAATCATTCATAAACTCCTTAGAATAGAAGGTGAAATACTGAAACTGATGTAAATAGTTTAAAGTTGTGCCACATGAAAAATTAAACTTTTATTTTTAAGGAGGATTTGTCTTTAATCATTCTGTGTTCTCTCATTAGTATCCTTGTGATTTTTTCCTATAGTTCAAATCTCAAAAGAGAAATTTTCATTATTAAGAAGTGTCTTAGTTTGTAAACTGTATGGTTTATATTACCAGAGTTGGCCAGATTTGATGAGAACAATTAATCACAATAGTTCTTACAATGGCAGAAATGGATGGATTTAATTTTTTATCTTTTTGAAAGGGTGGAATAAAATCTCTTGGCATTTCTTAAAATAGCTTTTTGACAAATTTGTAAGATAATTAAGATAAATATTTATTATAAAGTCTCTGTTAAATTATTTTATTATTGAAAGCATTTTGACTTTAATCTGATATTAGTTTCTCCAAAAGTGGATTTGACAAAAAAGACTTGTGAGTGTATAAATAAAATATAGACTGAGAGTGGTAAAATAGATTTTTAAAAAATATAACCTATAGAAACCTTTGGTTATTTTATTTTAATTCTATGTTTGTTTCTATAAAAATATAAATCCAAACAGACATTATTTTCTTTTTTAAAAATATTTTATTTATTTATTTAGAGAAAGTGTGAGCTGGAGGAGGGGGAGAGGGAAAGGGAGAGAGAGAATCTCAAGCAGACTCTGCACTGAGCCCAACATGGGGCTCGATCTCACACCCCTGAGATCATGACCTGAGCCAAAATCAAGAGTCAGACGCTTAACTGACTGAGCCACCCAGGTGCCCTGAAAACATACATTATTTTCATAAAAATACTTAATTTCTTAAATTGAAAGAACCATTTGCATAATCTTGGAAAATACAAAAGGGGCTGCTTCAATTATGTTAGCTTATATTATTTTCTTTTGCAGCATATACCTATAAAGTTCTATCCCAATATAGCTATTTTAGTAGAACCTGGCAAATAATCATAAGAAATATTCAACTGAATGGATTTGACATCCAACAACATGCCAGGCCTCACCACCCTGAAAACCTCTAACCATAAACACCTAACGATTCTATACAAAATACTGCATATTTAGTGAATGGCTTTGCTAAAGGAAGAAGAAAGAAGTCTCCAGATACCCTGACCAAGTGAGCAAGAAAAACCAGTCCCAGGGGGTTGAAAACAGTGATAGCTGCAGACTCTTCCATAGGACTTATATGCATAGGCTCATTCAGGTTCCTCTAGCCCTACTACAAAACTCTTCTACTTTTATGACAGGTCTCCGAGGTAGGCACTCTTGTTATCCTACTTTACAAATGTGAAGCCAAGATGCAGAGATGTTATATAACTTGCCCAAGGCGACACAGATTGTAAATGTCATCTGTGGAATGAAAACCAAGACACTCGGGCACTGGAGTCAGTGGGCTTAACCAGTTCATCAGTTATAATTCCATGGATCTGAGACAACAATCTCAAAAACTCCAAAATGCTGTTCAGAGAGATTAACAAATAAACAGAAATCACAATGAAAGAATAACACTGTAAAATAAGAATAAACATATTTTGGGGCACCTGGGTAGCTCAGTCGATTGGGCATCTGACTTTTGTTTTTGGCTCAGGTCATGATCTCAGGGTCGTGAGATCGAACCCGCCGTCGGGCTCTGCGCTGGGTGTAGAGTCTGCTTAAGATTCTCTCTCTCCCTCTCCCTCTACCCCTCCCCCACTTCTCTCTCTCCTGCTCTAAAAAAAAAAGAGAGAGAGAAAATAAACATATTGCAAAAAGATCTAAATGGGACTTGTGGAAGTAAAGGAAAAAGTCATTGGAAGTCACCTTCCTTTAACAGACATTACTAATGTATATAGAAGTACTGAAGGAAATATTATCTATTCTTTTACCAGGTATTAGAATAAAGCTTTGCCAAATATTTTTTTCATTCGTAAATTTTCTTACAGATTTCTACTGATAATTGGGGATTGGAAAAACATTCAATATATATATATTACATAATATAGTAAATGACTTAATGCACTATATGCATTGTTATTTATTCTTTATGTTTCAATAGAGTCAAATGAATTATTTTTATCTTAGGGCATTCTCTCTGATTTTCAAAACTGTCTTTTTTCCTAACATCATAAGCCACCATTAAATCAGTCTTAAATTATATTAAAATGGGCCTCTTAATTACAAGCCAGTAAGCATGGATGACCCGTTATGCTTCAGACATTTTACACACCTCGCAATAAGAAATCACATCTTGGGAGATCAAGTAGCTCGCTGAAGGATTCTCTAAGGGAATAGATCTGAGTAACCAGGGTCTGTGTAAATGAAAAACTCTTTTCAAATTCTCAAGCTACCCCCTGGATTGAATAGAGGAAGGAAAATCAAAGATAGGACTAGAGAAAAAAAGAAGCATCCAGATGACATTTGCGAGAAATAATTTCTCTCTGTTTTGAATGCCCAGACTGCTTTATCTCATTTTTAACTCATCTCTTTCAACAAACATTAATTTAAATTATAATAAAAATATCTACCACAACTGAGTTCTTACTTTGCCCCTATGTACTTTCTGAAGGGCACCGCATGCATTCATACATTCAATTTGTACAACATATTTACGAGAGGGCTGCAATTATAATTCTCGGTTTCCCAATAAGGAAGAAAACAATTAAGCAACCAGTCATCATCACAACTGGCACACAACAACAAAGACCCGATGTTTCTTGAAAAAATCAATGAATAAGCAAATACTTTTGAATCTTTCAATATCACTGTATTAGAAGGTAGGAAAGTCTCTAAATAGCAAGTATGTTTTCTTTTTTTTTTTTTTTTTTTTTTTTTTTTTTAAAGATTTTATTTATTTATATGAGAGACAGAGAGCATGAGAGGGAGGAGGGTCAGAGGGAGAAGCAGACTCCCCGCTGAGCAGGGAGCCCGATGCGGGACTCGATCCCGGGACTCCAGGATCATGACCCGAGCCGAAGGCAGTCGCCTAACCAACTGAGCCACCCAGGCGCCCCGCAAGTATGTTTTCTGATATATTTTATATTCTTACATTTTCCTAAGTTTTTCAATGTAAGTAGCAATAAGATTGTTGAGGAAAAGTAAATTTTTTCAAAAGATTAAAGTAGGAGCTAGTAAACATCTCAGGAGAATCATTTCAAATCTTATTAGTAACATATAGCACATTTCAGTTAACAATTTATTTCTTACCCCCCTTTTATTTCATTTATAATCTGACTTTACTCAGTTTCATTTTCAAATCCCAAGGGATGTTTTGAACATTTCTTGGTCTCCCATGATGCTGTGCATTTGTTCATGTTCATGTTCGTGAATGGATGACGGAAGGACAGGGTGGTGGGCTGACCAGCCTGAGATCACACTTGAGCTAGTGAAATATAGGATTAGAGCCTGAGGCTCTTGTGATCCTGCATTCATCTCCCTCCACAACAACCATTAAGACTAATTAGCCTCAAAAACAAATAGAACAATCACAAAACCTATAATTACTTCATTCTTCTCATGACCAAGGAACAGAGTCATAGGATAATCAGACTATAAGGATCACAGTTCAATAATCAAAGGAAGGAAAGGAAATGAATAGCACTTTGCCTTGAAAAGGTAAAGGTGAAATAAAGGCTTACATGGGAAAATGAGACCTTGCTAAGGGAACACTAATGGCTTACCTTAGTATATCCTTGATCCTTTCCACCTGATTCTTCATGATCCAGAGAGAGATGACACTTCCTCTTATATCATTTCTCAAATATGGGATCCTATAAATATAAAATAAACAAGTATGCAGTGGTGTGTTTCTTTTACTTTAAGTTATTCTACTTTAGGGCGCCTGGGTGGCTCAGTTGGTTAAGTTATTCTACTTTAAGTTAATTTGGTACAATTAAAATGTATGTTATTAAGCATGTAGGAAGCTTTTCTTTAAACAAACAGTAATTAAGTTAAAAACTTTTAAGAATACCTACAGAAGTGTCTCACACCGACGCTCTGGCAAAAAGTAAATAAAGTGACTAAACCAACTACTTAGACAATGGGGCATTTGATTGAAAAGACAGTTGTGTACAAGAAAATAAGAGAGGGAGCATAATTTCAAATTACCTAGGTGATTACTAGAATTTATATTTCACAGTGTTAAAGGGGATTTCAGTCATTTACACATTGTTAATTAACAGGAAGACTAGACTGACAAATATCTTCTACATTTTCAATTATGACCCACAGATATAATTTCAGGGATCCCGATATTTCTCAATTAGCCTGGAATGGGCATCAATTATATATGTTTAATAGGAACATTAAATATCGTTACACATATATATGGAAGAAGTCTGTGATGCACTAACAAGAATACAAACAAAATTTTTGAAACCCTTATTTTTTATTAACATAACTGGAATTAACATTTCCATTTCTTGCAAGGAGGACTGTTTACAATAAATGGGAGATGTTCTCAATGAGCCAGATTCATGTCCCTCATCAACGTAAACTCTTTTTGAAAATTGCAAAGGACGTAAACCAGATCTATTAGTATTTTAGTCATTGTCTCTTGTGAAATGAGGTTGAGGGCTGGTCAGAGCCAGATAAGAATTTTTTTCAAATATATTAGTTTGAAGGAAAATATAAAGAGAAACTAAATATTTTATTTAAGCAAACATATTTCTGCTTAGCATTACAGATTGTCTTAATTTTCTCTTTCTCTCTCTTTTGTTTTCTCTCCCTCCAATTTGTTTATGTACTTTGTCTTGTACAAATTGAAAACTAAATTGTATTGGGAAAATCCCAAATTACAAAAAAATTAGTGAATGACTTTAGTTGAGAACATACAATGGATTACCGATTGGGTCATATTTCAGGAAACATGTTTTAAGTTAATTGTTCAAAGAAAATGAAATCCATCATCACCAATTTATCACTACATCTTAAATTTGCAGAGATCTCTATCCCAGATATGTTAAATGTTTCTTAACTTTTTCTTCATATCAGAATATCTCCTCTTCTCCCTTCCCACAAATAGAAAAGCAGGAAATAAAAATAAAAGTTCTTAATATCATGTGTGACTTTTTATTATAATAAAGCTTTTAACTACGGTGATGAAGTAATCAAACAATACAACTATTAACTCAAACTTAAAAAATAATATTAAGTTTATTAACATATACTTATATTGCTTAAAGACATAAGCAGATTTATGTAATATTTATAATTTAATATGCTATGCTTATAATAAAGATTTTGATTTCATTTTAAAAGATTAACTCTGAGATTTACAATAAAAATTTTTATAATAAAAATATTTAGCATTTTCACATTTTAGTTTTTAATATATAGGCATATGCAAGCTCTATACTGATTTAAACTTTAAAAATGACACATTTTTAAAAAGTATATCACAATCTTTTTATACAACTATGAAAATAACTGTCTTTGCAGTGTCAAAAAGACTTTAGTATTTAGCATCTGTTTTCATCATGTTCAAATTTTGAATATTTTTCAATAGGGTTTTCTAATTTATTTCTTTTTCTTAAATGCTACCCACCATTAAATAAAACTGTAACATTCTAAGTAATGATCACTTGGTAGATTAAAACAGATAAAATATATTTGGACAATTATACATATGTTTTAAAGTACATTATCATTTTACTTACTTTTAAAAACCTACACTTTTAATCATGTCTAACACACACATTTCCTTTTTAGACTGCTCTTAAAAAATACCCACATCTCTTGCCTATATTATAGTCTTTTGAGCACAAGAATTTTTCCTGGATCCTCTGAGCTTTGAATGGAATATCTGACTCAAAGCATGTGTCAACAATTCTTTTGATTGTTCAATAAATGGAGTCCAAATGGTTTCATTTGTACATAAACTATGTTATTATTATCATTCCTAATCATTTCTTTCAGAACAATATTTAATAATGTTTTCAATGTTGTTAACTTACTAATTTATTTTTAAAATATTTGGATAAGGAACTTGCTCTTCTCACCAAAGTAACAAGAGTTGTCCATCCTCTGTCTATGCTAATCTTCCTGAATAAGGCTAAGCTCTCGTATTCCTACATTTTAAGCGTGTGTCAGATCCATTGTCTGGGATCTGAGCCGTGACCTTTCTTTAGCTTGCACTATCATCTTGTCACCATGCTCTGGTAGGACAAAATTCAGAACTAAGGAAAAAGAGTTTTTCACTGATTACATAATATATACATTTTGATTTTCAGAGTGGCTTGCTTTATAAGACAATAGATACCAGAAGCACCATTGGAGCCTGGAGCCTTGAGTCTCACTTACTTTGCTTTCCATGTGCAAGTCAAGTCTGGACTCCCTTCCCCATCAGCAAAAAGTGAATATCTTTATCTAGGTAATACAAGATTGCTGTGTTAGTTTACAACTATCTGAAAACACTATATAAAGTGACAGTAATATAGAAATTGGCAAACCATCACCTGTGGTCCAGTTGCCTGCTTTTGTAAATAAAGTTGTACTGGATCACAGGCACGCACACTAATTTATATATTTTCTATGGCAGTCTTCAGCTGCAATGGCAGGATTGAATAGACCTCTGGCTTGCAAAACCTAAAATATTTACTATCTGGCCCCCTTTTCTTAAAAGAAAACAAATGCTGACCCCTCTTAATAATGAACACTAATAACTTATTACTACTATTACTAAGAGCAACAAAAGTCAATTTCTACAAGTCTAATTAAACCACTTGAAATACCAAACAAGTGGTGATGTGCTGTTTCTTTCCTTAAGAAATGAATACGGTTGGTTTTGCATTAGCAAAATAGCAAGTTTTTATTTCCATATAACCAGCCTGAAGTTAAACCTTCCCATCAGTATCTGTGCTTGTTAATCTCTATGATGATGATGAGAGCTTAAGCTTTCAATTTCATGCCCAGGTACTTAATGTTTACATGAAACTGTTTAGTACTGATTACAAACATTAGAAAGCATGCTGACACATTAGTGCACAGTCCTAAGATAAAGTTCTATATATTATTCATATTTAAATTGCAGTTCACTGAACAGATGTCACCTATAATTACTTGGTTTAAATAAAAAAATGATAAATTAATGTTTCCAAGTTTTAAAATACATATCAGAAATGAAAATCAGTCAGATCACTTGATCTAAGTGAATTAGAGAAATATATTCACTGTATTAGAAACTTTGGATTAGATGCAATTTGAAACCGGTAGGGGCAAAGCAAGAAATGACATAAAAAATGATTTACTGGACACCAATAGTATTGAAAAGTCATCCTCTGTAGAATAAAGAGCCATTGGGAGTTTTATTATGTGTAAAAGTTAGTTGTGTAACTGACAAGTAGCAGAAACGCAGTAGACTTATGTGGGGTCCCAGTGAAAGGGAAGAGGAACGCAATGCAGTACAGCTCAGAGGGAGATTTATTTAGCTCTTGACACTGTGTTTGTGATTTGAGGAGACTTACTCTATACAAGTATTTCATTTGCTGATATTTCAGTTGTGATCTATCACATTTTTAATGTGATTTTTATTTGAAGAAGTCAAAATAATATTTTCTTTACCTTCGGGACATAAAATAACCAAGGCTCTAACAGTAACTATTGCTTATAGCTACTAGTCTAAATACTTGGACTATTATTACACACTGTTCAAAAACAAAACAATCTGTCAAACACCCAAATGACCTATGAGTTACAAGAATAGGTTCCCTAATTTATTTTTATTTTTATGTTTAATTTAAATTTTAGTTAGTGAACATACAAGGCAATATTGGTTTCTGGAGTAGAATTCAGTGATTCATCACGTACATACAACACCCAGTGCTCATCACAACAGGAACCTCTTTAATGCCCATCCCCCATCTAGCCCATCCCGCACCCACCTCCCTCCATCAACCCTCAGTTCATTCTCTATTGTTAAGACTTTCATGTCTTGTTTCCCTCTCTCTCTCTTTTTTTCTTTTCCTCCTTCCCATATGTTCATGTTTTCTTTCTTACAGTCCACATATGAATGAGATTATATGGTATTTTCTTTCTCTGACCTATTTCACTTAACATCATATACTCTAGTTCCATCCATGTCATTGCAAATGTCAGGATTTCATTCCTTTTGATGGCTGAGTAATATTCCTGTGTGTGTGTGTGTGTGTGTGTGTATACATTTATACCTCTTCTTCTTTACCCATTCATCTGTTGATGAACATTTGGGCTCTCTCCGTAGTTTGGCTATTGTTGATAATGCTGTTGTAAACACTGGGGTGCATGTATCAAATCAGTACTTGAATCAGTATTGAATTAGTATTTTTGTATCCTTTGGGTAAATACCGAGTAGTGCAATTGCTGGATTGTGGGGTATTCTATTTTTAACTTTTTGAGGAACCTCCATACTATTCTCCAGAGTGGCTGCACCAGTTTGCATTCCCACCAACAGTGTAAGAGGTTCCCCTTTCTCCACATTCTCGCCAATACCTGTTGTTTCCTGACCATAGGAGAAAGGCTCTCAGTTTTTTCCCATTGAGAATGATATTAGCTGCGGGTCTTTCATATATGGCCTTTACGATGTTGAGGTATGTTCCATTTATCCCTACTTTGACTGAGGGCTTTTTATCAGGAAAGGATGCTATATTTGTCAAATGCTTTTTTCTGCATCTATTGACAGTATCATATGGTTCTTATCCTTTCTATCCATATCCATATGGTATATCACATTGACTGATTTGTGAATATTGAACACACCTGTAGCCCAGGAATAAATCCCACTTGATTGTGGTGAATAATTCTTTTAATGTACTGTGAATTCAATTTGCTAGTGTTTTATTGAGAATTTTTGCATCCACATTCATCAGGGATGTTGGTCTGTAATTCTGGTTTTTAGTGGGGTCTTTGGTTTTGGAATCAAGGTAATGCTGGCTTCAAAGAATAAGTTCGGAAGTTTTCCTCCCATTTTTATTTTTGGAACAGTTTGAGAATAGGTATTAACTCTTTTTTAAATGTCTGGTAGAATTCCCTTGGGAAGCCATCTGACTCAAGACTTCTGTTTGTTGGGAGATTTTTGATTACTGATTCAATTTCTTTGCTAGTTATGGGTCTGTTCAAATTTTCTATTTCTTCCTGTTTCAGTTTTGGTAGTTTGTAAGTTTCTGGGAAGTTGTCCATTTCTTCCAGGTTGCCCAGTTGGTTGGCCTATAATTTTTCATACTATTCGCTTATAATTGTATTTCTGTGGTGTTAGTTTTGATCTCTCCTCCTTCATTCATAATTTTATCTATTTGGGTCCTCTTTTCTTTTTGATAAGTCTGGTTAGTGGTTTATCAATTTTATTAATTCTTTTAAAGAACCCGCTCTTAGTTTCATTAATCCATTCTACTGTTTTGTTTTCGTTTTTGTTTTTTTGGTTTCTAGATCATTTATTTCTACTCTACTTTAATCTTTATTATTTTCCATCTTCTGCTGGCTTTAGGTTTCATTTGCTGTTCCTTTTCTAGCTTCTTTGGGTGTAACGTTAGGTTGTGCATTTGAGACTTCTCTTGCTTCTTGGGTAGGCCTGTATTGCAATATACTTCCCTTATAGGACCACCTTTGCTGCATCCCAAAGGTTTTGGGCTGTCATGCTTTCATTTTCATTTGCTTCCATGTACTTTTTTTGAAATTCTTTAATTTCCTGGTTAACCCATTCATTCTTTAGAAGGATGTTCTTAACCTCCATGTATTTGACATCTTTCTGAATTTTTTCTTGTGGCTGACTTCCAGTTTCATAGTGTTGTGATCTGAAAATATGCATGGTATGATCTCAATCTTTTTGTACTTGTTGAGGGCTGATTTGTGACCCAATACGTGATCTATTCTGGAGAATGTTTCATGTGCACTCAAGAAGAATGTGTATTCTGCTGCTTTAGGATGAAATGATCTGAATATATCTGTTAAGTCCATCTGGTTCAGTATGTCATTCAAAGCCATTGTTTCCTTGTATTTCTGCTTAAGTGGTCTGTCCATTGCGGTAAGTGGGGTGTTAAAGTCCCCTACTATTATTGTATTGAGTTTCTTTATGTTTATTATTAATTGATTTATGTATTTGGGTGCTCCCAAGCTGGGGGCATAAATATTTATAATTGTTAGATCTTCTTGATGGATAGATCCCTTAATTATGATATAATGCCCTTCTTCATCTCTTATTACAGTCTTTGTTTTAAAATCTAGTTTGTCTGATAAAAGTATGGCTACTCCATCTTTCTTTTGATGTCCATTAGCATGATGGATGATTCTCCATCCCACCACTTTCAATCTGCAGGTGTCCTTAGGTCTAAAAGGAGTCTCTTGGAGGCAGCATAGATGGATCTTGTTTTTGCTTTAATCTATTCTGATACCCTATATATTTTGATTGGTGCACTTAGTCCATTTACATTCAGAGTGATTATCAAAAGATAAGAATTTAGTGCCATTGTGTTACCTATAGAGTTGGTATTCCTGGTGACATTCCCTGGTCCTTTCTAGTCTTTGTTGCTTTTTGTCTTTTTTTCTCCATTCAGAGAGTCCCCCTTAAAATTCCTTGCAGGACTGGTTTAGTTATTACGGACTCCTATAGCTTTTGCTTCTCTGGGAAACTATCTTTTATTCTATTCTGAATGACATCCTTGATGGATAAAGAATTCTTGGGTGCATATTTTTCTCATTCAGTAAGTTGAATATTTCCTTCCACTCCTTTCTGGCCTGCCAAGTCTCTGTGGACAGATCCTCTGCAAACCTTATCTGTCTGAGCTTGTAGGTTAAGAACTTTTTTTCCCTTGCTGCTTTCAGGATTCTTTCCTTGTCTGTGTATTTTGTGAATCTGACTATGATATGCCTTGGTGATGGCTGGCTTTTGTTGAATTTAATGGGAGTTCTCTGTGCTTCTTGGATTTTGATGTCTGTGTCCTTCCCCAGATTAGGGAAGTTTTCAGCTATAATTTGTTCAAATAAACCTGCCCCTTTATCTCTCTCTTCATCTTCTGGGACTCCTATGATATGAATGTTATTACGTTTTAATAAATTGCTGAGTTCCCTAAGTCTATCTTCGTGACTAATAGTTTTGTTTCCCTCTTCTTTTCAGTTTCATTATTTTCCATAATTTTATCTTCTTTATCACGGACTCGCTCATCTGCTTTGTCCACCCTTGTTTTTATGGACTCCATTTGTGTTTGCATCTCCATTTGTGTGTTACAGCATTTTTAATTTCAGCCTGAGTAGATTTTAGGTTTTTTTTATCTCTGTACTAAGGGATTCTCTTTTGTCTTCTTATGCTTTTTTCAGGCCCAACTAGTATCCTTATAATTGTCGTTTTAAACTCTAGTTCAGACATCTTACTTATATCTGTATTGATTAAATCCCTGGCC